TGATTTGTCCCCAATCCGAGTCTGTTTTGCCCGGGGTCATGGTTGGTGGGTGATCCCTCCCTGTTCTTATCTCGAACCTCAAGCCTTTTGTTATATTTTCTCCTCCTCATCTCACTGAGGTGGGAGGACTGAGCAAGCAGCTGCATGGTGCTTAATTGCCGCCTGGGGCTAAACCACAACAGGCACAGGACATCTCCTACGATGGATATAACCATACAGATGCAGCCAAAAACTAAAGGCACAGCGAAGCTAAGGTTGCTTAAGATAGACACATCACCTTACTCCACAAGGACAAAGCAACAAAGAGAAGATATAGCTTGGTGAGAAGTTGGATGGCTTTTTTAAAAGACATTTATCAGAACTGAGTTTCCAGCATCTTCAGAGATGTGGAGGAGCAGGTGTCAGAGGCTTGCTCAGCTGCCAGGGAATTAGTCCTCCACAGAGAGACTTGCACAGAGCATCATCCTTTCCCAAAACTTCATAGCTGCTCAGCTGAAGTAACTCAATACCTTCAAAGAAGAAAGGACAAAGTATCGATACCATGTCATGATGCTATTTTTAGGTCTTCCTAATTTAATTTACCTCAATAAGAAAAGGTTGAGTCAGCAGATACTGTCACAACGGACTAGCATAATCTAGTGTCAGAGTTTTTCACATGGTTTTGACTGGGCACAGTTTCCTTTATGTAGTAGTTTGGCCTTTGTCCCTTCTCTGTTCCCCCATACACACATATGCCTCTACTGGTTCTAAAGAAGAAATACAACTCTACCCACGGCATCACACAGCCATGGCAACGCCATTACTGCACTCCAGCTCAGCTTGATTCGCCGTCGTAGAAGGGACAGGGACGAGACAAAATGCATGAGGAAGAAAGAGTCTCTGCCCAGTCAACCAGACCACTCTGTCCCAGAAAGGACCTGGCGAGTCACTTGCCTTACATCCCCTTACTGCCACAGGCTCTTCGCTTGGCTGTCAGAATAAAGATAATTTAGATAAAGAGAGAAATGAGGTGAAGGAAGAGACAATGTTAAAATGTAATTTTCTTCAGACATTTCATATCCTACCAAGATTATTCAGCTTCCCTTCGGTCCGTAAAGTGAGAATGTTCAGCCTGTTAAGAATCTTTCTGAGCCAAAAAGTAGATTAAGAACTTGGAAACAGCCTTCGTATACCTGAAGGGAATAAAACTCCCAGAATGTTTTGAAAATGATCCAAAATTTTGTAAGACAGTCAACAGCACAGATCTGTACATACTCACCATACAACGAGGCAATTCCTCCCAGAGAAAACTGCAGTAATACTTATTTGAGAACTACAGACACAGGAAAGTGTCTTAGAAACTCAAAAAAATTACACATTTATAACCATCATACATATGAATGGATAAAAAGAGCTTTGAACTAACATAAAAACTTTAGCAAGAGCATGTAAGAATGTCCATGCTGTGGCAAACTGACTTTCAGCAAAGCACTTTGTTCAGCAAAAGCTATCTGATGCAGTAAGCACGTGAAAAAAGACAATTAGGAACTTCATGTGCCAGGTCTGTGTAGGATGACCAGCAGATACTGATTTTGCACATCTGGGAACTCTTGATATTGAAAAATAATAATGTTTGCTATGGAAAGTTTGCCATAAACTACAAAATCACACAAATCGTGATGTAACTATCCTAGAGTCACCTTACAGAAAGCGTAAAGCACCACACATTTCAAACAAAACCACCAAACCAAAACCAAACCTCCATTCCAGCAAAGACCCGAAGAGTCTTTACTGAATACAAAAGACAACATGAGGAAAGAAGATGGAGTGACAGTAGCTTAGGTTGTAGGTGGTTTCACAATGCTTTTCCCAGCTTTGCCCCAAGATTTCCACAATCGGTCACTTCTGGATCTCAAACAGGAGAGAGAAGAGGAGGAGAAGAGAATGATTTCAGAAGTGTTTATTACAGATGAACTTGAATGAAATCTCATGAAGCACAAACAAATGACATTTTAAAAGTGATGACATCAGCACTAGGAGCAAGGAAGCTTGCTTTCCTCGGAGTTTGTCTTGTGATTGACTGAGGGCTGTGGTCAATTTTTTTTTCCCCATGGTTAAGGCATTAGTAAACAGTTGCTGCCATGTGGATTCTCTTTTGCTTAGTAACATGTGAGCCCATGAATGTCTTTCTTTAAAGGATTTCTCTCAGGATTTTCTCTCCTTACCCAGCGGGGCATATTTTCAACAAACTCATTGGAACTTCGCTGCCCTCACCCACCCTTTAGAACTTAGCCATCTGTCAAATTCATTTAAATCATCTGCAGAATTATAAATCACTGGTGACGTTGGGGAGAGAGGAGAGAAACGAACACATATGTGCCAAGTAGTTGTCAAAGTCCTGTTCCTTTAGCGACCCAACTACAAGCGAGGACAATAAAAATCTTTAGAAGCATCAGGTTATCTAAGTATGGACACAGATAGTCTCATAAGGTAAACATGACAAAGTATTGTTTAAAATTATTAGAACTATCTACCTTTTTTTAAAGGTCATTAAAAGCAGTGACTTGGTATGATTTCCTTCTTAAGATGAACACTCACCACATTTATGACCCAAAGACTGACTGGCATGTTTGAAATGTACATAGGAATAGATCCAGGAGAAATCTCAAGTGCTGACTGATGAAGGATATAATGATTTGGACAAAACTTACAAAGTGACAATTTATTACTGTTGCTTAAACCCTCTTGAACTGACGAACAAAGAAAATTCCAGAAATCATCCAGTCCCCAACAGCAACACAATAAAACTGCTGCAACATGAGGCTATCCTTTGGGACTCAGAAAATCCAAAGTCTCTGATTATCTTAAATTTGTCACTTCACAGCTTCTCCCCAGCTATAACCTACAAGCAAATCATCAAATACGAAGTAGCTATGACAATTACCACACCAACACGTCATCTATTCTGAGTAGACAGAGCATCTGCATAACATCATTTATGAAAATCAACATGAAAGTGTTAAGAATTATGAATGTTTTAATAAATGAATATAAATAGGTCATCTGTAACTTCATGATAATGGAATTAAAACACAACAATATCAATAAGCATAGGTTTTTATATATAAAAGTGTTGTTTATTGTAAGGAAACTTTAAATATAACCAACAATATTGAAAATATTGTGACTGGCATTTATGGCCTCGATTGTAGTTTACTGCCATACAAGTAAATCCTAGCATTTTTCTTAATCACATCAAGCTAGTGCAAAATACAGGTAGCTTTTAGAGATTAAGCATATAGAATGACAAGAGTGTAGATTTTCATTACCTGATATTTCCTTCTTGTATAACAGGCTTCTCTTTTTTCCATAAATCAAAGTACAAAGGCAAGTTATCATATGTGCGATTATTCATACCAGGTGTCCAGGTTAAAAAAATGACATTTGTAAATTTTGCTCAGATTGTATTTTGTTAGGAATCTGACTTATAATTTATACCCAACTGTATGATATAAATTATATATTGTTATCACATTATATAATCATAATTTCATATACAGGTATGATTATATAAATTGTCAGAACATACCACCGTAGGATAATTACATCAACATACACAAACATATGGCGTTAGAAAAGTCATTATCTAAGAAGGAAAGATGCTGTAATTCAGGTGTTTGAAACGGGGCACAAGCAGCCTTTCTACAATTCTTGTAGTATCATTTTGGCAGAAATCCTGCCAGTCGCCGTTATGTGCACTAGCTTCCCATGTACATCAACAGATAGGCCAGTAAGCAGTATTAAAATTGGACTGTGCTTGAAACTTCCAGTCACAGACCCTTGTAAGCAATGAGCCCTGTGCTCCTAATTAAAATTATGTTCTCTCTCCTCAGTCTCAGAAGAAATCCCGTGCTATATGGCTAAAAAGATACTATGTTATGATGACCTACAGGTTTTTGAAAGCAGGACACGTTAGCTTTAACAATTACATACTTTCCAAACTTGTGCAAAGCTTTTGAAGTATTGATCTTTCAAATTAAATTTTTTTTTTTTTTTTTTTTTTTTACTTCCTGATAAGCATTTTTCAAGGACAAGCTTAGTTTAGCACGGCTTTTGGTATCAATCACTCCAGTAATTGAATCCAGTCTTTGATAGCTAAAGATTAGACTGCAAGAAGAGAGATATACAGAGATCATTTCATTTGAAATAGGTAAAAGATTTAACAGATAAAAAAGGTGAGATCTAAAAAAAATTAACTAGAGAACAAGCATAGATAGAGAAGACAAAATGCATAAATATAAAACAAGGGAGAAGGAAAACAATATAGGTTATGTATGATTAGGTAGAACATGACAATGACCTATGCCTTTGCTTTTAAAGCATTAGGGTTAATTTGTCAGCTCTCCTCACTCTAGACTGTACATAATACATGTAACTAATAAAAAATGAAGTTTATTGCAAAAATATACAAGTCCTCTAAATTGCATAAGATATTACAATGTCGTGCTGCAACATGACATATTAAACAAAGAGGACTTCAAAACAAATTACAAAATGTTAAAAATCAGATTTGGATCATGAGCGTTACACAAAATGCCTCGTCATGCTTTATCTTACGATTAGTCTTGTGATTCACTATATCTGTGATAAATGCAACATAAAATCATGACAATTGTAGTAGTCAGAAAGTAATATCTACTGTATATCTTCTGTATTAATACATATAAACACTTTGTGTGCACTAATACTTTCAACATACCACATTCAAACTAACAGTCTTTCCAGAAAAGTTGTAACCTTTTTGAAGAACAGAAGCTGTTTTAACGAGTTCATCGCATGTGGGTTTTTTGAAATCTACTCTTTAAGGAAACGCTGTTAAAGGGCTTGATTTTCGAAGGTGCTGTGCTACTATGGGTCATCTTAATGCCAGATGGACCCATCAATGCTAAGCACCTTCAAAAATCAAGCCCACAATTTATTAAATTCCTGTTTTGTTTACTAGTATTTCCACTGTACTTAATCCAAAAAATACCCCCGAACCCACTCTTAAAATCACAGAAAATGCTTGGCATCTATAGGAAGAGAGACAATTTCTCAGTGGACTAACCACTACTGTGCTATATTCTCACAACAGATCTTGTTGCTCCAATGTTTATAGTTCATGCACTGGGATCGGCAATGTCCATGTTTGTTCCAAACAGAGCAACTAGCTGCTCTTCATAGTTTGCAATGTTTCTTTTCAGAATTTCCATACAAGGTCCCAAAAGCCTTTCAAATGCTTGCACATCCATAACTAAGATAAAAGGGGAGAGAAAGAGAAAGAATATAACGTGCTTGTCAGTTGCAGACACTAATCTTGGTGTTTATGACATTTCAATGTAAAATTTTAAATGGTAACAGGACGGATACTACCGAGGCATATACTTTGTTTGCACAGAAGGGAACCACTTACCGTAGCAAAACCAAGATCAATCAACACATTGCTGTCTTGAAACTTCATAAATAATCTTAGAATTTGCTGTGTTTCTTATTTTGAAAATACTTTCCTATTAAGATTTATGTCACTCAAGAGCTGCTGAAGAAGCCTGGTGGGGCCTGGATTCCTCCACAGAAAACAGTTTTAAGACCCTTCAGATTTTGCAAAAAACCAAATCCTTTGCTATGTTGTTGGCTGTATTTGGGGTCTAACTTAGCACATTTCCTTGCTGTTTTTAAATGCTTCCACCCACAGTGGAAATTGTAATAGATACTTATTTCCTAGCAAAGATACAAAAAGTTGGAGACAGTAATTCATATGCAATGTCAATGCGGAGCTGACCAGCATGTTTTCTTTACCTGACCACATAGAATCATAGAATCATAGAATCGTTAGGGCTGGAAGGGACCTTCAAAGGTCATCTAGTCCAACCCCCCTGCAAGGAACAGGGATATCTCCAACTAGATCAGGTTGCTCAGGGCCTCATCCAACCGGGCCTTGAACGTCTCCAGGGATGGAGCATCCACCACCTCTCTGGGCAACCTGTTCCAGTGTTCTACAACTCTCATGGTAAAAAATTTTTTCCTAATATCCAACCTGAATCTACCTCCCTCTATTTTAAAACCATTACCCCTTGTCCTATCACAACTGGCCCTCCTGAACAGCCTCTCCCCATCTTTCCTGTAGGCCCCCTTGAGGTACTGGAAGACCGCTATAAGGTCACCCCGGAGCCTCCTCTTCTCCAGGCTGAACAGCCCCAACTCTTTCAGCCTGTCCTCATAGGAAAGGTGCTCCAGCCCTCTTATCATCTTCGTGGCCCTCCTCTGGACCCTCTCCAACTGGTCCATGTCCTTCTTATGTTGGGGACTCCAGAACTGGACGCAATACTCCAAGTGAGGTCTCACGAGGGCAAGTGAGGTCTCACGAGGGCACATGATGTTATCCTCTATAGTTCTAGCCAACAGGCCAGGGAGGAAAGTTCATACTTCAACCAGCTTCCAACCTGGTGGCCTGTAGTCTCTTGGCTCCTGAGAAAAGTTTAGGATCTTTGCTATTTGGGAAGTGCCAGAGATATGATTGACTCGCTCATACGGGGTATGCACAGTTATATAACCCCACTCATACTGGGTATACTCTTCCTCACCACTGCCTCTTATTCTTTCCTCTCTATCATCTTTGATCTTTATTGCCTGATCGTCTCTGTGTGTTTGGAGCTAAGGATTTAAAAAAAAATACTACCTTTATAAGTAAGTGAGTGGGAAGTGCCAGAGATATGATTGACTCGCTCATACGGGGTATGCACAGTTATATAACCCCACTCATACTGGGTATACTCTTCCTCACCACTGCCTCTTATTCTTTCCTCTCTATCATCTTTGATCTTTATTGCCTGATCGTCTCTGTGTGTTTGGAGCTAAGGATTTAAAAAAAAATACTACCTTTATAAGTAAGTGAGAAACTTT